GGAATTCAGAAGAATGAGGGGAGATCTTATAGAAACATAGAAGATTATGAAGGGAATAGGTAAGGTGGAGGCAGGGAGGTTGTTTCCGCTAGCAGGTGAAACTAGGACTAGAGGGCATCTCCTCAAAATAAAGGGAAGCAGATGTAGGACTGAGGTCAGGAGGAACTTCTTCACCCAAAGAGTTGTGAATCTGTGGAATTCCCTGCCCAGTGAAGCGGTTGAAGCTACCTCGCTGAATGTGTTTAAGGCAAGGCTAGATAAATTTTTGAACAGTAAAGGAATTAAGGGTTAAGGTGAGCGGGCGGGTAAGTGGAGCTGAGTCTCAAAAAGATCAGCCATGATCTTAGTAAATGGCGGGGCAGGCTCGAGGGGCCAGATGGTCTACTGCTGCTCCTAGTTCTTATGTTCTTATCTAGATGTCTTTTAAATGTTGTCACTGTACCTGCACCCACCACTTCCTCTGACAGTTCATTCCACACATGAACCATGCTCTGTGTAAAACAGTTGCCCCTTATGTCCTTCTTAAAACTTTCTCTTCTCACCCTAAAAATATGTCTCCTATTTGTGAACTTCTCCAACCCAGGGAAAGGACCCCTACTATTCACCTTATCTGTGCCCTTTGTGATTTTATAAACCTGTATATGGACACTCCTCAAGCTTCTACTCTCCAGTGAGAAAAGTCCAGCCTATCCAGCCTATTTTTATAACTCAAATTTTCCATTCCCGGAAATATCTTTGTATACCTTTTCTAAACCCCTCTCCAGCTTAATAGTATCCATCCTATGGCAGGGAAACCAGAACCGGACACAGTATTCCAGAAGAGGCCTCATCAACATCCTGTACAACCTCAACATACCCACGCAGAGTACAGTGGATGTCAGTACATTGAGTAAATGTAAGGAGATGATAGATAGATTTTTCATTAGTAATGGTTGAAGGTGAGTAGTCAAGAAAGTGCATTGAAGCTGAGATGAGAGCAGTCATGATTTTGAGGGGCTGAATTGCCTATGCCTGCTCTGAGTTCTTACGTTCTGATATCCAACATACACAGGCTTTGGAAATTTTTTTTAAACATGATTTCTAAATATCAAAGGTCAGTCTGGAAGAAAACTTTTCAACGTATTTGATGTTATCTGCCCTGAATGCCAATCGTCCAATCTTTAAAGGACATTTAATATTCCTAGGTGGATTCAAGGTATGATCCAATCTAGCCAGACACTTTGACTGGATGTTAAATTGATGCTCGCACAATAAGATATTCTGAATCCTGTACCATAATCTATAACCCAAGCAAGGTAGAAGCTTTAATGTTGTCCAAGACAAAGCAGTCCACTTGATTGGCAGCCAACCATCATTGTATATACCCACTCCTTTTATTACTGCATGTATGATTCATAAGATACAGCAACCTAACAAATAAGTCCTAAAAAGCAGAACGCATATTTGTAATCTGCACTCGAAACTGGAAAGACAAGGTTGGAGTTGCATGCAAACACCATCAACTCTATGTGACTTACTAATTTACACACGATGTTGAATTGGCCACATATTACAGTTTCTTCATTATTGCTGGCCATTAAGCCCAGAATTCCCAACATAACATAAGAATCATGAGCAAGAGTAGGCCTTCCAACTGATCAAGGATGCTTCATAATTCATTAAGATTACTACGACATGAACTCTACTTTTCTGCCCAATTTTCATCTCACTTAATTCCCTTAGTGTCAAGAAATCTAATGATCTCAGTCTTGAATACTCTGATCAACTGACTGCCCTTAGCAGTTTGGGGTGAGAGTTCAACAGATTCATAACCTTTAGAGGACAGAAATTTCTCATCTTAGTCCTCACAGCAGCAGTCCATCATACAGATTGGAGTGGTTTAAGAAGACAGCCCATCATTATCTTCTCATGGGCAATTAGTGGTGAACAGTAAGCACTGGCCACATTAGCAATGCTTAATTTCAAGAATTTTTAAAACAAACACATCTGGAAAATCTTGGACTGTGCCCTTCTTTCAATGAAAATTCCCTTCTCCTTGTATCTGACATCCTAATTTGCGATTTTAACTGCAAACAGCTAATTTTACACGCAAACATTTGCAAAAGCAATCTATTTTCTCAGCAAAGAGGTATAGCCAGATGACCAAATTACAAAGGTGCAAGTCAGCATAACTGTCTACAACGATTATAATAACTTCTCTGAGGTTATCAGATTTGGTGAAAGCCTTGGTCAGTGTTGCTACTCTTTATAAATGCTCCTTGCAGGAATGACATTCATTAAAGCAATTCTTCACAGCCAGTTGATAGGAAATATGCTGAGATGTAAAGTGCCACTATGGAAAATATGTTTTTTGTTTGATTTTCCTGGAATTGTACCGATAAACAAAACATTAAAAAATTCTCAAGTGAAGGGCTTTCACTGATTAACTGAAATTTGAATGCAGTTTATCAAAACAGACCGATTTTCTAGATGCCTTTCAATCAAGGGAACCTATTTTGTTTATAGGTACAACAATTCCAGGAAACTCAAAAAAAACATAATTTTCCAAAGTGGCATTTTACATCTCATTTTCTATCAACTGACTGTGAAGAATTGCTTTAATGAATATCATTCCTGCGAGGAGCATTGAAAAAGATTGGCAACACTGGCTAAGACTCTCACCATGTCTGATAACCTCTCCACCATGACAAAAACACTGACAATCCCCAGGAATCAGAAGTCCTCATTTCCAATTTTGCAGTGGTGGGCTTCTGGGCATCCTATGCTTCACGGCTGGGTTCCTGGAGACAGCTGTTCCAACTCAAATCCGATTTTGGTACACTTGTTGTCAGGTTCGTGGACAGCACACAACAAACGACAACTGTTTCAGTGAAACCCCTTTGGAGAGGTGAGGCACCCCTTTGGATACGATCCTGTGACACTTAGGAGTAGGGGTGGGCAGGGAAATGTTGAGGTGCTCTGGGTGAAGTGGGTGGTTATGCCTCTTGGGATTGCAAGAGGCAGAAGAAGTAGTCAAGAATGTGTTGAACATGTATATAAACTTCTTGGAGCTGCCAAAGTTGTCAAAGAATTGTCAACATTATCAAACAACTTTGAATACAAATGCTTGTTTTCATAAGGGATTAGCTTAAGGTATATTGATGTGCTGAATGTATTTGTTCACAGCAATGACATTAATAAATACACAATGATGTCAACATGGCTCCTGAGGTTTGACCATGTCAGATACTAGCACTGAGGGTAAGGAATTGGCTTGAGGGGTTTGACAGGCTTGGAGGCAGGGTAGATGGGCATCAAGATAATGGGGATAGCAAGAATGAGGCATGTGAAATGTGTGGGGAGTGAAAAGGATGGGATGAGTGAAGGTTAGAGGGATGCTTTTGGTTTCATTTATTGCTTATGAAACTGCAATACAGTGCCAGTGCTGGGAGGCAGGTCTTGCACTCAGCTCACACTTGTAGCCAGCAGCATCTGCTCTCATTTCGATATTGCCTAGTCCACCAACCAAAGAACTCTGTCACCCTAGAATGAATATTTATCCATTTGGCCAATGTTTCTTCAGGTCCAGTTTGTGGAGCCAGGAAGTATCTCGTCCCTGTGCTCCTGATGCTGGAGTGAAAGGTGGGGCCATTATGTCCAATTCTGCTACATTAGCACTGCAGGCTAGGACATTTTTTTGTTAGAATTCCAAGTATATACTAATGGGGTAGAATCAACCTAGTATGTCAGGAGTTTGGAGTGAATATTCCTTCAGAATCGATGCTCTATCATAATTCAAAAGGATTTGTTCTTTCATGCCTGAGTTTCAGGCAGGATTACCTAACATAATGGTATCTGTCTGCTCAGTGCAACATGCAGTGAGCTTTCTGAATTTAGTTAGCTGGTTCATTCTTTAAATAGTTGCAAAATGTCATCTATATATACCTGTGCAATTCCAATCCAAAAATCTACAACAAAGAAAGTAATCCATTGCGTACTGTTGTGCATGAAATTATGAGCCAGCACTGGTTACTCTTCTGAAAATAAAGTAAATTGTACACAATGGTTATCGTCTTTCTCCCTCCTCAGCTTGCTGCCAAACCTAGGCTCAGTTTTGCCTCACTATAACTTTGTTAACCATTTTCTCCCCTCATCTTTTCACTCTGTGGCCTTACAGCGAAGGTTTTGATTCTTTGACAACTTCTTTTCAATTTTCACAAAAGAGCATTAAAGATTTGAAATGTTATAGACAACGGAGAATGGTACTTACATTCCGGAGAATTTGGAGTTTGCCGGTCAATAATATTAATAAAGTTCTCAAGGAATGATGTATTGTTGCTTGAAGGAGTCAGTCCATTGCAGTATTCCCTGAAAGGCATTGTTAACACATTCACACTATAACAGCCTTCCTATATGTAAACAAACATGGTCACTACGAGAAGAAAATGTACAACCAGACAGTGGCAGCAACACTCAGGAAGAGGACTTGGCTCTACACACCACAGCACACAGGGCACAGCAACCTGCAAACCATGTAAACAGCACTGACTACAGAACAACACCATCAAGGCTAGATGTGAAAGGTGCCAACTACACTTAGAAATTTCCAACTTGCCAACTAGCCATAGTTAAGTAGGTCAGAGGAAAATCTACTCGCTTCCTTTCAAATTTACATCAGTGCTTATTTTCATTAAATGCTGAAATTCCTTGTGTCTTTCTGTCTTATGTGATAATGTGGTCATGACTATAACTAAAATACATTTATTTTCAAAATTTACATTTTCCATCCCTACTTCAGCTCCCTTCCTTTCCTAATTTCTTACTTTCAATTGCAGGACCATGATCATCAGTAGTAAATATCTTATCCAAGGGGTCACTCCATGTTTGAAGCTAGGTACTCAATGCATCATTCATAGAGAGTAGAACAGTCTGGTCAATGTTGTCCTCATCCCTTTGTACTGATTTCCAAGAGGGAAACTTGATAATGGACCGGAGCTGGCTATTCTCACCATTCTTAGTCAGCAATAGGTATTGGTTGGTGCAGCCAAACAGGAGCTAGGATCAGTTGATTCAACACAGAGCTGAGATGAGGACCAGGATTGTTTTGGCTTGTATGCGTAGCAAACTGACTCACTTGACTGAAATAAGAGCCCTAACTTTCTCTGCTAAGAATTAATTTGTTTTGTGTGAGGTAAAAGTTAAGTGAAGTTTCCGTTTAACATCTCAGACAGCTAACATTGACTAATAGACAGAACATATTTCCAGAATGGAGGCCAATATGTAAAATCTGCCAAGATGACACAGCTACTGTATTACAGTACATTCCAACAACAAATCCATTCTATTTCTTGTTTACTCCAAAATATAGAGAAATTATACAGGAGCTTGAAATAATAGCAATTAATAGCAGGGTTTTCAAAAATGCCTTTCTCATCCCTAAATACTCATTTTTATTCCATCTGCTGCATAGTGTAATGCCCTTTCTGACCTAGGGACTAGTTCTGCTGCAAATCAGAAATGGTATATATTTAAACTAAGTGATAAAAGATTTTATTCTATAGAATATCACTTATTCGATAAAGGACATTTGAGAACATAATTCATATTTTCGTGTGGTTGCAGAGGTGCTGTCAATTTAAATACTTTGTTTCAGCAATTGTGCAGTTTAAATATCAATAGTTGTGGAAATTGGTTCCATATGTGTCTCGAAGCAAATTCATTTCTAACATATATAAAAATTAGTGCTTGTTTTGTTGTGGAAGAACCTCAATTATGCTACAATGTATATTACTTCAGGGAAGTAGAGTTGTCACATTAATGGGCTTTATGCATACTGCTGATTCTGCAGATATTTTCTCATTAACCTGTTTTGATTTGATTTGATTTATTGCGGTCACATGTACCTAAGTACAGTGAAAAGTTTTGTTTTGCCTGCAGTACAGGCAGATCATAACAGTTCAGAGATGTTCCAACTTCCATCGGGAGCAGGTGAGGCTTGTACCTCAGCCTCCTGACTCAGAGGTAAGGATACTACCATCACACCACAAGAGCCCCTTCTGATTCTGTCAAATTGTGATGAACGTTCCATTTGTAACGGTAACCTTTCTCAGTTTCAGGTGTCAACTAGCCAAGTATTGAGAGATCGATGTGGTAATTTTAAGTGATTGGCCCAGGCACTGTTTACTCTCAGAATGCAGACTGTGAATGAACATTCTAGACTATCTGACAGCTGTCAATTTTTAAATGACACCTGAATATTCTTCAAAGATATTTTTTACTTCTCCTTTCTTATTAACTGCTCTTGAATTTAAATTTAGATTTATTTCTCAGTTTTAAATCTTTCTTTTTTAAAATTTATTCCTGTTTGCATTTCTTGTGCTTTTTTAAAATTCTGCACTTCATTGAAATGTTCACTAAAACTAAGAGTGATGCTAGGACTTTAATTTACAACAACAAGTCTCTTTTGTATTGGTACATCAGTGTCTAAAAAAATACTGTGAACATATGACCTCAACATATTAATCAATATTCAGGGAACATTTTTAATTCAATCAATATTTGTGGATCAACTCAAATTAGGATATTCAAAAATAGTTCCCAGGCCCTCAAGACATTGTTGTTGCTCAAAATAATTATAAGTGGGAATGCGGTAAACATTGAGAAATCCGTGAATAGCTAAGAAAATACTCATTGCCTATGAGAAATGTGCTTAGGACGTAAACCTGCTTAATGCAACTGAAATGGGTCAGATGAGAAGTACGTCAGAAAAGGAAGCTCTTTACCACAGGCCAACTTCAGCATTTTTAAGTCCAGTCCAAAATCCAGAGATCTCCCAAAGTTGACACCAACCTGGACACCTCTGAAAGTGCTTTTTTCCCCAGTGCCAGAAGCTCGCAAGTCATAGCACATCAAAGACCCTCCTTCCACAAACAGTCATGCTTTACATGCGCTCTTACAACAAATCATTAAACGGAGCTACCTTGGGGCGAGAAATACATATCCTGTTGTGTCGAAGTTATCGGGCAGTATTGATTCTAAGTCTGAAAAGAAACAATTGTTAAATGTTCATTATAACGTCTGTTTGTGTCTCTTAGATAGCTAGAACTTGACATGGAAAAGTTTGAACAGAATTTCTCTTACCAAAATGGCAAAAATAATTAATCACCAACTAATTTTTTTTCACAAAGTGCCGCATTATAGAAAATACACAGGCAGCAGGCAGTAATTCATGTAAAAAAAAACGTGCTAAAGCTATTAATGTAATGGTAATGGACACCAACAGCTAATAGATATAGATCAGATACAATAAACACAGAAGAATATTTGATAGGGATAGGAGCACTAGTGCATTCAGTATAATCTAAAGACAATACAACAAGGAAATTGACCAACAAAAGGATACTTGCCCTTGCGTTTGGCTGTCAGAATCCATCAGAAAGAGAAAGCAGGGAACAGGAAAAAGGGTCAAGTAGAAGGGATTATAAACAATATTTTATTCAATGGGTGCTTGAATAAAAATATTGTGCTATACTGGGAAACTTAATGCACAGTAGAAGTCTGAAAAAGACACACTCGCTTGCAGACTGAAAACTGTATGTGATCACCATTAATGCTGCCTTCGAGAAGCTGTATCATTTAAAGGTCTGTTTACCAAGCAATCTACATATGTCAACACAGAGATAATACAACTCTGGTTATAAATAAGGGCCTGGGTTCAGGTAATATCATGCATTGTGCTAAATATAACAAGAAGCTTTGTAACCCCTTGAGAAGTGAAGGGCCTTTATATTCCCTGAATATTCCTCAATAAAATTAAGAAATGGTTTGAGATAAGGAGGAAACAACAGAAAGTGCTGAGCATATGCTGTACATCTCTCCTCATCAGTACATATCATTGCTTGTTATTATTTTCAGATTTCAAATTTTTAGAAAACTCCTGTTTCCTTAGATAATGGCCAATATTCTTTCTATGGGCTTAGAGACTAAATACATCAAATTAAAACCTAGCTCTTTACAATTTTACAACCAAGCATTAAGGCCCATACAGTGAAGAGGTAAAAGCATGGAGCCACAATCTCCGAGGGAGTTACAGATTGAACTACATCTGATCACTCTTCTGAACTTATACAATTACCTAAATGTGAATGTAGCAGGTAAAATCACCACTGTCCCACTGAACCATATGCCTGCTCTCTCATTAGATGGCAATTTAACCTGGGGTTCACCAAGCCTCAGGCGAGGGGAGAGGTTGAGAAGGAGAGGCCTTCATGGCAACCTCAGCTGATGTGGGAATTGAATCTATGCTGTTGCCATTACTCCACAATGCAAACCAGCTGTCCAGACCACCGAGCTAATCGACACTCACAACTATAGCATTCACATTTATAATGAAGGAAGTACTAATGCAAAGCAGACTAGTTCCCAGGCAGGACCAGAGCAATGACTGTCAAGCCCACAGATTAGTTTGGCTGTCCTCTTAACTAAGAGAAATGCACAGCCCAAACAGGGAAACTTAGTTAACTTGGTGCAAATTAAATCTAGCCTTAGGCTAGAGATTATTACTTTGTTACTGTTAAATAGCATTATTTAGTATATAGCACCTTAAATTTAAAGAAAGGGAGATATTTAACTTGCAGCCCAAACTAAATTTGTTTCTGAGGGTTCATTTAAGTGTTGCTGTTGGGCTGTGATCACAAAACAATCACCAGGTTGCAGATTGTCAGTTGACACATAACACACAGAGTTATCCAGCATGTTGGTCTTACCTGGCACAGTCAGGGAGGGAAGGGAGCAATGTCAATACTCAGGAGTGAGGGGGTAAAAATGTGACTCAAGAAACACTGGCATTGCACCAGAATTTATTCAGGAAGAATGCATCTGCTTTTGTTAAACCCACATTGATAAAATGTATTATGGCCTTTCTTTGAGCAGCCTCTACTCCTGCTGTAAGGAGCATTAATTAAGTAACTCATTACAACTAGATCTAATATGCATGGCAAAAGTTATATTCACTGATTTATGCATTTGTGGTCTTACAAATAGTGAACCTACATGGCAATTTCTTTATTCATTCAAGGGATGAGGGTGTAACTGGCTAGGCAGCATTTATTGCCCATCCCTAATTGCCCAGAAAGTGGTTACAAGTCAACCACATTGCTGTGAGTCTGGAGTCACATGTAGGCCAGACCAGGTAAGGATGGCAGTTTCCTTCCCTAAAGACATTAGTGAACCAGATGGGTTTTTCCAACAATCGACAATGGATTCATGGTCATCATTAGACTCTTAATTCCAGATACTTATTGAATTCAAATTCCACCATCTGCCATGGTGGGATTTGAACCCAGTCCCCAGAACAATATCTGGGTGTCTGGATTAACAGTCTAGCGATAATACCACTAGTCCATTGCCTCCCCTAAACTGTGCACTTCCGGATTGAAACACAAAACTATCTGGCCCATCATCCATTATTGTATGCACAAAATTGGCCCTAAAAGTAATCAAAGTGTATGGGGAGAAAGCAGGAACAGGATGATCAACCCTGATCATAATGAATGGCAGAACAGGCTCAAAGGGCCAAAATGCCTTCTCTTGCTCCTATCTTGTATGTTTCTGAATGGACAAACTTAAGTTACATTTTTCCCCAAGTAAATTCCCATCTTTCTCTTCAATGGCATAGAGCAATTGTGTTTCCACATAACCAGCAGCCCCAATAATCTTGACTCAAGGCAATGTGGAAATCAGACTGAATTTCAAAAATTTCATGACAAGCACACAGACTTAGCCCAATGCCATTGAGTCTGAAGTCACACAACATCAGGTTATAGTCCAACAGGTTTATTTGAAATCAAAAGCTTTCGGAGCGTAGCCCCTTCAACCTGTTGGGCCATAACCTGGTGTCGTGTGACTTCTGACTTTGTCCACCCCAGTCCAACACCAGCACCTCCACCTCAATGCCATTAACATATCCTCTGTACAAGACACCTCTCTGGAGATATTCAAACATTTAACATAATGACACAAACGTACAGAATAAAGGGAATGGTTTCTTTGTGACTTTAAAACAATTTACTTTCTTTCTTCAGTCTTGCTTTTGTGGTCAGCAATGAAATGTACACATTTTTTTGGGCCTATGGGTCTAATCTTTCCCTGTGTACACCTTTTATGAAAGGATGTTGGAGGTAGATTAAAGAAGAGGGATGTAGCATTATTTATGTAGCACACAAAGGAATGGTGAGAATGTTTGAAATTCTTAAATTTGTGATGATCTTATAAGCTTCTTGTATATTAAAGAAAGATGGGTCAGTTAATAGTCATGTCTTACCTGCATGACATACTATTTGCTAACTTTATAGTATACAGATACAGCATAGGAAAATGCATAGCCCAAAAGGTCAAAGTAGAATAATTTTACCCAATCTTTCTAAGCTGAATTTTGGATGCCCTATAACTACAATGTTTCACTGCTCATATATGCTGAAGATGCCAGAGTCTATTGTTTGACCAAGCATAATGTTAAGATGCCTTCAGAAAATAAGACTAAATGGCATGCTGTACCAAATACTGGGTATAAAAGGTTTGCATTATTAGCACATGCTTAAGACAATACCAGCCAAGTCATTAACAGGTTTGGAAATCACATATATTGGCATTTTATTTTAAATGTTTAGACAGTTTTTAAATTGTTAAAATGCAATAAAGATTTCTGTTGTGAGATAGAACAGGAAAAACTAGCACAAAGAAGGTTGGTGGATGAGACTTGTATTACTTCTGTATTTCCTCGCCTAAGTTTATTCAGATACAAATCCAATTCACCTTTGAAAAAAACCTTAACTGAGGGAATAAAAACTTTGTGCAAAATTAAATGGCCCAGATTTTGTGGTCAGCTGTGAACAATCATTATGCTTACAACTGCTCATAAACTATTTGGGTGCTTCCCATCAGATTTGTTGTCACTGTGGCTTCTATGACATGGAATTTGTGATCTGCATGTGCAGGGCAGGCAACTGTGTCTCTCTTCAACCACATCGATGAATCCTTACTGAAGTGTACCATTACAGAGTCTGAAACAGGAAGTGTAAATTAGAATACAGAATTCAATTTTTAAAAATGATGTATAGGAAACAATAGAGAGAGAAAGAAAAATAGGTGTAAATCAGGGAGATAATGAACAAAAAGATAAAGAATAATTTCTTTTGAACTTGCCAAGAATCATTAAGGCACAAAGGAATGGAACTCCATATTTGTAAAAGTAAATTTGCAGTGCCAGAGTAATTGGTCAGAAGACTTTAAAACATAGCACACCATCAAAAGTTGACTTACACCTGAATGTTTACTAAATATCTAGTGTTTGAGCAGCGTGACTTCACATTCTTTTTCAGTTTAATAATAAATCACTCCGCGAGTTAATGTTATAGTGAAGTTTGTCAAGAAGCAGGGCAACTCTGACAGGAACTTATTGATATCCACCTTTAACTGCAAATATCCTGATGCTGCAAGTTGCTGCCTGATTTACCCTTTTTAAATAATGTGTGTTGTAGCCTGATTACTATTCCTACCACAAAATCTGGGCCAAATGCTAAATCAATGGCAAGTTTCTTTCTATCTAATGTTAATATCGAATTGTTTGTACTATTATAAAATTGTATAAAAAAAACATCATGACAAGAAATAAACAGACCTTTTAATGGATGCATAGAACCAGAAGGTACAGCTGTACAATGATTCTAAAATTACATGATAAGTGAAATTGTGCATATTCATTAATGGAACTTTGACAAAGAAAGAAAATGATCACTCTTACAGATTCAAACCATGCAGTCGTTTTACATCCTTGCATGTTTGTCTCTCTGATGCTTTAGAATCATTGCTTTACACTATGATGACATCTATCTGAGAATCTGCCTCTTACTGTTTAATGCTATGAATATATTAGATTAAGATCTTTTCATGATTTTATAGAATCAATATTTTGCTCTTTTCCAACATGCATTACCAAGTCAGCTTCCACCCCTCCCAATACTTACGCCGCGCCTGGGTGATAACCTCATCCAGTTTGGCTTTGATGTAGTGGGAACTGTATGGCGGGAGAACCAGGGCCAAACTGGGGAAATCACAGAGATATAATCACATGACCTGTGGAATTTGGTGGACGAGAATAAACCAAACAGGCAATTCATGAATAAAACATGTTCTGGCTGTAACGGTAAGCTCAGTGCCATCAATTGCTCCAGCAGAATTCCTTCATACTGCCAATAGTCAGCCGATTTACCAGGTTTAATATTCAAAGATATGTTACTTTCCCAGATGACCGTTATCAGTACCTTGTGGTACTTGCCATCTCTAGCAGTATGTGGGGCCTGGGATAGCAGGGTACATCATAACTAACAGCTGGGGCTGAACTGGGGATGGGGTGGCTGTGTCTGGGACAGGAGATGGGGGTTGATGTTTTTGGGTCAGGGCACAGTCAGCAATGGAATAGCTGTGCTTGGGTCAGGCATCAGGGCTGCTTCACTTGGGTCAGGGACAGGGGTACTGTGTTTGGATCAGGAAATTGGAGGGTTCTGCGTTGCTTAGGAGATGGGAGTGGCTGTTGTGTCAGGGGAGGTGACTTCTATGCTCAAGTTGGGGCTAGGGGCCTGGCCCTGAATCTGCACCAGACCCTCTGATTTCTGTCCCAGCCCCTGGTACTGGATCAGGGCTGTTGGGGTGGTTCACTGTCATCAACTTCCTTTGTCTTTTCTCTGTCTTGAGCGTATTCAGTGATTAGTCGTAGAGGGTACAGCACCATCAAGTATGTCCAAATGATGGCAATAAGTACAACTATATTTGGTCAGGTATAATTACTAGGACCTTTGGAAGCTGGTACAGATACAGATAGCTGGTTCAAAAGCTAAAGCACAAATTTTTGTCTCCAACCACAAACTGTGTATAACATCAGTACAGGCACGGTGGCTCAGTGGTTAGCACTGCTGCCTCACAGCGCCAGGGACCCAGGTTCAATTCCACCCTCGGGCGACTGTCTGTGAAGTTTGCACATTCTGCCTGTCTCTGCATGGATTTCCTCTGGGTACTCCGGTTTCCTCCCACAGTCCAAAGATGTGCAGGTTAGGTGGATTGGACATGCTAAATTGCCCATAGTATTCAGGGATGTGTAGATTAGGTGGGTTATAGGGGAATGGGTACGGTTGGGATGCTCCAATGGTCAGTGTGGACTTGTTGGGCCGAAGGGCCTGTTTCTACACTGTAGGGATTCTTTGAAATGTAATTTGGAAATTAGCCTGTCCAGAACAAATGGCTTGACATTTCAAAAATGGTGATCCCTGGGGAAAATTAATATCGGGATGATGCAATCTTGCAGAAAATTTCCCCACAGTTTTATTGGCCTGGTCAGTGGATTTCAAAGCCATTTCAACCCCTTAAGCCCATTCCACCATTCAGTGAGATAATAGTTGATCTTCTACCTCAACACCATTTTCCTGCACTTTTATCATATCCCTTTGTGTCTTTAAAATGTAGAAACCTATCAATCTCAGTCTTGAATATACTCAACACATGAAACTCCACAGCAATGTGGGGAAGAGAATTCCAAAGATTTGCCACGCTGTAAGGAAAGAAATTCCTCCTCATCTCAGTCCTAAATCATCTAAGTCTTCCCTGGAGACTGTGTTCCCAATTCCAAATAGCCAGCCAGGAGAGACATCTTTCCTGCCTCTACCTTGCTGAGCACTGTAAGAACATTTTATGTTTGAATGAGATCACCTCTCACGTTTCTGAACTCCAGATAATAAAGGCGCCATATATTTAATCTTTACTCATCGAGAAATACTTCTACCCCAGGAGTTATTTTTGCAAAGCTTCATGCCTCCCTCGCCCTCCACCAAATACATTTTCCCCAAAGTAAGGAGATCAAATCTGCACACAATACTCCACGTGTGGTCTAACTAAGGCTCTATTTATTTCACTGAAACTATACCCCATTGCTTTGCTTCTGAAATACAAGTGAAAATGCTAAACATAAAATAAAAACAGCAAGTACTGGAGAAACTCAGCAAGCCTATAACATCTGTAGACAGAGAAACAGAGTTGGCATTTCAAGTCCAGTATAACTCTTCTTCAGAACTCATGTCAGACTCTAAACGTTAACTCTGTTTCTCTCCCCATATTTGCTTAGATTCTCCAGTAATTTGTTTTTATTTCAGATTTCCAGCATCTACATATTTTCCTTTTATTTGAGAATACCCTAATCATTCTTGATTCTATTGCTCTACATGCATAGGAAGTTATGAGGCCAGCCAAATAGCAAATATTTTTATGATGCCAGAAACCTCTGCTGCAGTGTAACTGTCCAACTCATAGAAAAACGAACTATGCTTCAGTTTCTCACTCTCCAATCACCAATCTCCCCTCCCAGCCTCAGCATAGGTGGCTAACTCCTTGCTGGGGTACATGTATCAACCATTCTTTAGCATAGAGTTGTGACGGTGCACAGCATTCAAACAGATCCTTCAGTCCAATTCTTCCATGCCAACCAGATATCCTAAATTAGTCTAGTCCCTCTTGCCAGCATTTGGCCCTTATCCCCCTAAACAATTCCTATTCATATACCCATCGTATTCATAACCCAGATGCCTTTTAAATGTTATTATTGTACCAGCCTCCACCACTTCCTCTGGCAGTTCATTCTATACACACACCACCCTCTGCGTGAAAATGTTGCCCCTTAGGTCCCTTCTAAATCTTTGTTCTCTTACCTTAAACCTATGCCCTCTAGTTTTGGACTCCCCTACCCTGGGGAAAAGTCCTTGGCTATTCACCCTATCCATGCCCCTTATGATTTTATAAACCTCTATAAGGTCACCCCTCAGCCTCCATATAGCTGGTTGACATTGGGTACCATCAGGGCTGAAACTAAAGCAGCATCTCACATGCACAGCTTCCAGTCTGATTCAGGTAACAGTAGTCAGAAGAGGGAATTCTGCCTGATTTTCCCTATTAAGATTTTAAAAAGAAACTGGACAATCCTTCAGCTTTATTGTGCAGGGTTATTTTATGTGCACAATGTGTAGTACTCCATTAAATTAGAATATTTTACACCTTGCAATGAATGTATTGCAGAGTCCAAGTTTTAATTATCATATAATTCTGTCTGTTCAAGAACACATTCGAGAAAGTAGGAAGTGTCACCAAAAGTTATGACTTTAATATCAACTTTAAGTAGAACCATGTCAGTCATAAATGCAAAATAATGCACCCTATACACTGTTTCAACAATGTGCTTTAGCCATAACCTCAATCAGAAGGGTGTCATATGTGAGCCATTTTTATTTTCAGCACAGGTGGATGAATAGTCTGCTCCTAATTATTCTGTTCATGTGTACCGTGCTCCTTCCAAAGAGAATTGCGTCTTTAAAAAAAATTACTCAGTCATTACAGGTGAATAGAAAGGAAGACTCTTTTCTGATGTAATATTAGATTACCTGTAATCTGTGCTATTCACGAGAGTCCATGTATATGTTCGAGTCCCTCTGTCAATATACCGCTGAAAAAAAGGGAAGGCTATTTAATAACACAGTTCCAAATCACTTTTGGTGTCTTTGCACCACTGTATGTTCTGAGGCTTGTAATATTATATCAAATTTACATAGCGCCTTTCAACAGGTCAGCATACCCCAAAATGCTTTCCAGTCAATTACTCACTTCTGAAATGTTACAGTTGCACTTTTACAATGTAACATTGCATGTAGTAAATTAACACTATAGCAATCTCATTATGACCAAATAATACATTTTTTTCTCATGATGTTAGTTTGGGCATAAATGTTGTCCAGGGTACTGGTAGAAATCTCCTGTTTTTCTTCTCAAAAAAGTGGTAAGCAATCTTTTATGTCCATCTGAAAGGGCAGATGGGACCCCAGATTCACACCTTATCTGAAAGCCTGCATCTCTGAAGGGCTAAGGGCAATAAAGGGTTAACTGTGACTGGAACTGTGACTAGAACAAAAAGCAACATTTTTAGAACTTTGTTCAGTGGCAAATGTGATCCCCATCAATCTGAACAGTTTTTATTACTGTAATACTTATATGTTTTATCATCATCTTATAAGAACTGAAAACTAGGTGGTTCAGCAGAGCAAGATTGTATCTGTTGGCAGTGTGAGTCTTGTAAGCTTTGCATATATATTGCATTGTTGGTGCGTATATGTTTATGCTGTGGAGGAATGGTAGCATATGCCTGCAGCCATTTGTGATTGTGTCGGATTCACGGGCAGGATCCTCACATTTTAAAATTATCAACCTTCAAAGACTAAAGATGATTCCAAAGTATATGCATCGAGGCAGACATCCAATTATCTGAAAAATATTAATTAGTAGATCTTACATAAGAATTGTTTAACACAGCCACAAGTGAGATCTAATTTGCCTTTCCTTTTTTTTGAATCACTTGTGTGTGATTTTTTGTGCCTCCTTTATCAGCAATTAAAATCTGGACTCCATAATGTAAAGTAGGTAATCAGTGTATTACTGATCAGCTAGTAGCATGGGAAGAACTAATCTTTCAGAACAGAGGGTAAGAGAAGATAAAAAATCTCAGCATTGCTAACTGCAGGGTGATAGCATAGTGAAGTTTGTTTGCATCATTAGAGAGGAACAGCTAAACATGTTTCAGCACATTATTTCATTCTAGCACTCCTGGAACATAACCCTACCCTGGATGCATGTAGTGAAATGTGACCCATTAATTCTGTTGATTTTCTCTTCTGAGACTCAATAAATATTGTGAAACAAAGAACATTGCTTACCCTTTCCTTGAAGCAATTAATTGTCAATTTTTTGAAAAACAGAGAGACCAATGAGATAACTAGTTGTAGACTGTACCTCATCGTAGGATTTGATTAGAGTGTCGAGAGTCTTCTCACCATTTTGTCCTTCTATCATGCTGTGCCGAATCTGGAAGACATAAACTAATAACTTGCAGCTAATCAACTCTGTGCAACAGTTTGATCCAGTGACTAATATGTGATGAAACCTCCAAACTGTTATATAACCATAGCTCAAGCAGAATTCAATGAAGTCACTTCAAATGCCAGTTTAATGTGTAACCCTAAGAGAAAAGAGCCATTATTACCACATTTTCAAGAATGATTAAGGATGGGCAACAAAATCTTAGCTTTACCAGTACAGCCTACATCCCATGAAACAATAAAGAAAGTCATGAGTTAGTAGTGTTGTAATAAATTACAAAATGGTGATTCCAATGTACCATCCAAAAGAAGTATAAAGATTAATTTGTTAGTACAACACCATAAATTATAGGAGTCAAAATGCATTATGATGAATAAATGAACAGCTCAGGCACACTGCTTAAAACCAACAGTGTCTTAGGGAAATAAGAACATGTTCTGTAAAAATGCACACATTAATACAATTCATGATTAGATGCTATTGAATGTTCTAACCTTTTCAGTTTCATCCACCAGCAACAGTTTCAAAATTACATTTACAGAAATTTCTCTTTCTGGGATAGCAGCACTGCGCCATGACAATTTTCAAGCTCCATAAATCCTACCTGGGAAAAAAGTGTCTGAGAAGGTTGGGGATTTCGTTCTGGGTGGGTAGGGGAATCTATGCCCCGTATCCATTTCCCATGGCATCCCACACTGCCCATGGCAACTTATACTCCACCTAACTCCCAAGGTTCTTTATAGCTTCAATGCTAAATTACTTCCCACCCATGCCTCTCAACCACCACCTTTTGTCCTTTAACCAACTATGTTAATTCATCCTATGTCTACCACGTCAGACCCTATGTACCTATGCTGAAATTACATAAAATTTTACATGCCTATTGACGAAACTGCTATTTAAAAGAAAACTCCTCATTGATAAAAGTCTATTCACTACATTTAACTTCCCTTGCATAAACAAACATTTGAATACACAGTTCCACTTCAAAGATTTTATAAACACTTGGAGCTGTCACTTGGACTATGAACTGACAGACACCACTATGTGAAAGTTAAAGATTGTTGTATCAGTTATATAATACTAATCTTGCAGGTTTATGACTAAAGTCAGAGTGAAATAGGACTCTGACATTTTTAACACCACAACATTTTTCAAATATTTAATGGGAAGGAGGTCAAAATAATTTTACTAAAGAATAGTTATCTTGACAGTTCCAATGAAGTTATGCACTCTTCATGCACATTCATATCTACTTTTTAGCAATCCTAAAGACGGCCTTAGGTCTTTGAACGGGCACCTGACCCCCTTCAATGTTTCCTAGGATCACATACAAACAGATACCACATCCCTCCAAAGAAATCCAGTAGCTTTTGACCATCTCCTATCAGGTCTAAAATATATAATTCATGTTGTGAAAATCCCACTCATGAAAGTCATATCAACCTGACGTAGTTGCACAAAACATGCAGAACTGTTTCATGAACAATGAACTAGGAAATTCCGCTGTTTCTGTCCTATCTGTGAAAAGGTTGTGTGCCACGTTTTGATGTGAGAGTTCCAATTTGGGTCTTCATCATCACCTTTGAAATGCCAGAAAGGCTCTCAATCTGTGCAAAAATGCAGCTGTGTATATACCAGTATATAAATACATGAAGAAAATATATAGGTAGTTCATAATAGTGTCAATACAGTGTGGAGCTGGAGGAACACAGCCAGTCAGGCAGCATCAGAGGGGCAGGAAGGTCGATGTTTTGGGCCTAGACCCTTCATCAGGACTGTTCAAAATAGTAACAGTCATGGAATGTCATGATAATTTCAACTGGTAGATTATTAGAACGCTTGTATATGGCACACATGTACTGCTCACACAGACTATGACCTGTTGTCATGATTTTAACTAATGATTTGCTGCTTTTATTTCCCCTTAGTTTTACTAATCCAAAATTCAGTTTCATTGTTTTTGGGTCCTGGACTGATGTCTGGAAACTTTCTGAAGTCTCTCTTCCAGACTGGTTATCACTCTATATAATTTAAAAAAAAACTTCACATTTATAAACTGACCATGGGCAATGCCACAAGTAATTGACTAAACATAGGTAACATGTTAGGTGCCAGAGTCCCTTTCTCTGTAGTTAAACAGAACATCAACCAACCTTGTTCATTTATAGTGGAGAGGACAGTAGCCAGGCTCTTCATAAAATGTGCATGAGCATTGAGTCAGGGTAGGATACTTGCACCATTAGGAACAGCCAGAAAATCCAGAAATTCAATTCTGGTGGTATTTTGCTGCCCCGCAATTACAGTTCACATTTTCTAGGGGTAACGTTATTATTCACTATTCACCAGTTCAAAGGCTCGTATGTTTGCCAAAAAGGATGCAGGTTCACAAAATCATAAAGGAGTCTTAAAAAGAAAAATGAGGGTCATATATAAACACAATATATCTGGGCAGGTTACCTAAACACTATTTCCCACAATCAGGCCAATTGGCAATGAAAGATTGCCAGCTAAAATCTGCTCATGATTATGGAAACAGACTGTCATGTTCAGTCAGAAGAAGGTGATGTTTCATGAAAGCACATCACCTGAATTAAATGAAATGCCACAGGAAAAAAAAACAGGCAATTTATAGATAAATAAAATAATGTGAAGTGTTTCATAAAGTCAAGCCAGGCATTATGGAGTTAAAAGACATTGACATACCACTCACAGTAGCCGCTGGCTAATAATGATCATCTTACCTCCACTTTCATTTCATTCTCCAGTTCAGCATCTAGAAAATCTAAAGTGACGGGCTCCTGAGATTTGGGATTCTAGACCAAAAGGAATAATCATCAAACAATATGTATTCACAATGTGAAAATACTGAGTTCAACATACAAGACCAAATCATGACAAGTTTTTGTTTTGTATCCTTCTCAGTAAGGAGAGTTGAACAAAAAGTTGGCAGTAGAGAAATAAAAAAAAGTTTAGGAAAACACTTCCCCAACATCTCATTTAATGTAATATTCAGTTGTAATGTGGTGCATTCCTGAAGTGCTGATTGTACATTATTCAACTAAATGCTTGTGCTAAATAAAATTTCTTTGAAAGCAATTTAACTGTGCAAATGCTTCTTAACATTAGGCCCATATGTACGCTCATATGTGTGATACAATGAATGTAGGTCCCCTACAGACAGAAATGGGGGAATGTATAATAGGGGACAAAAAATGGCTGAGGAACTGAATACATACTTTGGTTCTGTCTTCACAAAAGAGGACACAAATCAGATACCAGAATTGTTGGAGGATGCAAGATTTAGTGAGAGGGAAGAACTGAGGAAGATCGATATTAGTAAAGAAATGGTACTGGGAAAATTTTTGGGATTGATAAATCCTCAGGGCCTGATAATCTATATCCCAAAGTATGTAAGGAAGTAGCTGTAGAAACAGTGGATGCATTGGTGGTCATCTTCCAGGATTCTACAGACTCTGGAATGGTCCCTGCAGATTGAAGGGTGGCTAATGCCACTCCAATATTCAAAAAGGGAGGTAGAGAGAAAACAGGAAATTATAGACCGGTAAGCCTAACATCGGTACTGGGGAAATTTCTCAAATCCATTATCAAGGATTTTATAGCAGAGCATTTAGAAAGCAGTGGCTGGATCAGACAGAGTCAGCATGGATTTATGAAGGGGAAATTGTGCTTGACAAATCTGTTGGAATTCTATGAAGATGTAGCTAGTAGAGTTGATGGGGGGGCAGTTGATGTGGTATATTTGGACTTTCAGTTTGACAAAGTCCCACATAAGAGACTATTGTGCAAGACTGAAGTGCATGGGATTGGGGTAATTGTATTGAGACGGATAGGAAACTGGTTGGCAGAGAGGAAACAAAGAGTAGGAACTAATGAGAGATAGTAGGAACTGCAGATGCTGGAGAATCCGAGACAACAAGGTGCAGGGCTGGATGAACACAGCAGGCCAAGCAGCATCATAGGAGCAGAGAGGCTTTCTACTGCACCTGGTATTCCCAGGCGGTCTCCCATCCAAGTACTAACCAGACCTGAGTCTGCTTAGCTTCCGAGATCAGGCGTTTTCAGACTAGTATGGCCGTAGGCCTCTCTGCTCCTATGATGCTGCTTGGCCTGCTGTGTTCATCCAGCCCTGCACCTTGTTGTCTTGAGTAGGAACTAATGGGTCCTTTTCAAATTGGCAGGCAGTAACTAGTGGGAGCCACAGGGATTGGTCCTGGGACCCCAGCTATTCACAATATATACTAATGATTTGGATGGGGGAACAAAACGAAACATCTCCAAGTTTGCAGATGATACCACGTTGGGTGGGAGGGTGAACTCTGGCGAGGATGCAGAGATCCTTCAGCATGATCTCGACAGGTTGGGTGAGTGGGCAAATCAATGGCAGATGCAGTACAATTTGGATAAATGTGGGGTTATTCACTTCAGAAGCAAAAACAAGGCAGCAGATTACTACCTGAATGGCTGTAAATTGGGAGGGGGGAGTGTGCAGCAGGGCCTGGGCACCCTTGTGCACCAGTTGCTGAAGGTAAGCATGCAGGTGCAGCAGGTGGTAAAGAAGGCAAATGCTATGTTGGCCTTCGTTGTGAGAGGTTTCGAGTACAGGAGCAGGGATGTGTTGTTGCAGTTATACAGGGCCTTGGTGAGACCACACCTAGAATATTGTGTGCAGTTTTGGTCTCCTTTTCTGAGGAAGAATGCTCTTGCTCTCGAGGGAGTGCGGCAAAGGTTTACCAGGCTGTTTCCGGGATAGCGGGTCTGACATATGAGGAGAGATTGACTAGATTGGGATGGTTTTGCTGGAGTTCAGATGAATGAGGGGGAAATCTCATAGAGACTTATAAAATTCTAACAGGACTGGACAGGCTAGATGCAGGGAGGATGTTCCCGATGGTGGGTGTGTCCAGAACCAGGGATCACAGTATGAGGATTTGGGGTAGATGATATAGGACAGAGATAAGGAGACATTTCTTCACTCAAAGAGTTGTGAGTCCGTGGAATTCATTACCACAGGAAGTAGTTGATGCCGAAACATTGTGCCATGATCGTGATGAATGGTGGAGCAGGCTCAAAGGGCCAAATGGCCTCCTCCTGCTCCTATCTTCTATGTTTCTATGTAACAAGTAAAATGGTTGAATTGTAGTAGCAACAACTATCTTCTGCATCTTCAAAGGTGAAACTGCCTGAATTTAGTTTAATTATCCAGTGCAACCAGGATTGTGCATTCTTGGGAACCAAACAGAGTTGTGTTCTTTAGTTTAATGAGCTCATATAAATGTTGGAATCTGTTGTTCAGATTTTTTGGCAAAAGCCAATTCTTTACATTATCATGCTTCTCAGCTAGATTGTCCTTTAGTGTCATTGTTTTTTCAACTTGCAAGAGATACATTGACAAATTTTAATGTTGACTTTTGTTTTCTTTATGGCTCAACGCTTAACAGTCATTCTCTAAAAATTATAAGGAATAAGAATTACCCCACTGGCAGCATAGGGAATGGTTTTCAGGTGGGCAGCATTGCAACCAAATATTGACGTAGCTCCAACAAAATGCACAAATTGTAGATAATTTGTTTTGAATTCTGCATCAGGAATTGGTATAGACCGGAACAAAATGGGATTATACTCTTACTCAACACAGGCCGCATTCTCAACCACAACAGCTATTGCCTGAGGATTTGTATTCCTGAGCATTAAATTAGGTGGAGAATTAGTGAGTGAATTATAATTGCAATCTTCCAATTTGATTGCAGGCAACATTCAAAGTAGAAAGTAGTTCTCAATTTGCAAACTCAACTATCATTCAATTAGTCATAAAAATCTGTGGTTTGGCTGGCTTATTACTGAAGTTCTTTGATTTGGAGTCAAAGAACTAATTTAGAAACAGTTAGAAATGGGATTTTTCAATATTAATCCTCAAGTCAACTGAGGAATTTTAGAAAGTGTGTTGCCAAAGATTGAAAGCCAAAGATGGTCTGTGCTCGCAAACCGGCACTGGAATCGAGCTGATCCCTTTTCTTAGTGCCTATCTCACATTTAATCAGGATGTTTAAAAAACGTAGATTTCAACCCATGGGACCACTTAATCCAAAGTTAGGAAAGATAAACAAGATTGTATCAATTCGGTCTCTTTCCATCCAACTGAAAGCACTAGCAATCAATAAGTATATCTGTTACAAATTGCCAAATGTACACCGGCTTCATACAGCATCTGGAAACTTACAATCGATCCCGCAAATAAAAGTGGATTGGTGAACAGTGCAGCTTTTATCTATGGATCAAGATGCATCTTACTGCATGTGCCCTATGTAGTGACATCCAACCTTGTCTCTACGGTAAGTTTGCAGGCATGTGCTGCATTTCAAAACAGTTTCTCTTGACATAACAAAAGTAGAACTGGAATTTATTGTATTTTACGATAAAAACATAGGGATCATCCACATTAAAGAACAAACAAAATTGAATTAAATCAGAAAGTTTACATGCACAGAAGACCCCATGATATTACCAACCATGCAGCATGCATCAAGACATTGGTATGAGGAGGTAGCAGGTCACGTCACATTCCAATATATGTGGCCATGGAAAGAAAAATAAGAGTCAGAAGCAATTATACAAAACATCTTACATAACAACAAAACAAAAGTGATGAATTACAGTGGAAGAAACTATGAACTTTATGACGACTTTAAAAAATAGCACTGAGATAGTCACTTATAATTTGAAATCATGTTTGAAGGGGTTTAACAAATCGGGTCAAATTATTTTAGTCAAAAATGTTTTAGAGCAATGTGAATTGGCTACATAAGAGATGGCAGTTGGTTGCACTTTTTTAGACATTTAAATTGATTTCAGATAGAGAAAGGGTCAATTTGAGGGAGGAACTTGATTCTGCTAAATTCAGGATTGTATTGCTCACGCCCTATTTGAAATCAGTGAACCATCATTTTTTGCAACACACAGATACCAAATACACAATGTAAGGCTGCTGAAATAAGCTGTTTAGGGCTCATTGCAAGACTGCACATCATTTGTCTTCAGAACGTACTGCACATTTTTAGTTTAAATTATTCAACTGGCTCAGAGTGTCACAGAGTCAGACTGCTGTGTCAGCTTTATTCTATAACTGGAAATCAAGGCCACTGAGCAGCCCTCCTAACATGTGCTTGAATGTGCCCAAGAGCAAATGTATAGAACACGGCCTTTTCTCATTCAACAACAACTGGAGGTAATCGAAATGCACTGCTCTACTCACTGTGAAACATGCAGTAGAACTTCCATTGTTTGTGACTTGGAAAACTTGTGGCCTTTCTGTTCAAGTGTTTTTTTTTCCAGAATGTACCTGAAGCTATTCATCCTAAAGCCCTCATTCTGGTGATCATGTTTATCTCTATTTTTGCTGCCCTGAATATTATGGTCCACTCACTAATCAATTAGAAAAGCTCATAGACAGTCCCTAAACAACAAAAAGTATTCTGGACTGACTTCCAACACTATATTATTACTGGTCTCTGGTGCAAGAGTATGAAATAGTAACTCAAGGCCGTTTGCCCTCGATTTTCTAGGACAATAACACAATTCCATGCCTCTCCCTTTCAGCTCCTGGATTGTAACAATGACACACCTATAGACCAAGTTTGCAGGATTTACAATCGCCCTGTAAGGGCATGGTTGGAGTGGAGGTGCTTGGAAAATAATACGTGAAGGAAGCATCAGTGTTGCACCAGTTCCTTGATGCTAGAATTTCTAATGGCTGGCAAATGGTAGGAGGAACCAGGAACCCACACCCCTCTAATTA